TCCCTTTCTATGCATGTGCACACACACACACACACACACACACACACACCACCACCACCACCACCACCACCACCACCACCACCACCACCACCACCACCACAGGGACACTTTCAGGAAAAAACACAAAACACAAACGTATACAAAAGGAATAAAAAAGATCCATTCAGTTGATAATAAAAGACAGACAATAAATTGGTAGAGTCCCACTATACTCTTAATTTTCCAAAGGAGATTTTTGGAAGGAACTAGTGTATATAAACTATGGGGTGAGAAGAGGTAGAATTCCTTGATTATTTGAAAAACATTAAATGCCTACTAAATGCGAGCATATATCAGTACAGTTTTAACTGGTGAGAAGCCTAACAAACATTTGGGTACAACCTCCAGTAGCATTAAATACACACACAGACACACACACACACACACACACACACACACACACACGCACGCACGCATGCACGCACGCACGCACGCACGCACTATATTATAAATAGTAAGTTTATTAGTGAGAAAAATTTTTTAAAGGCAGAAATAAGCATAGTATAAGACATACAATTTTAAACACAGTGGTCAATGAAAGCCTCACGGGTAGGAATTCAAAGGCTTCTGCCATGCCTGGTTGGATTAACATCTGAGGAAACAAGACAGCTAAGCTGGCAGGTATTTTTTTAAGTGACATAAAGGGTTGAATGATTCACAGGCCACAGAACTCACAGGGACATATAACCCAAGATCAAAAGCAGAGACTGTGCAGAAGGTAGGCATGGGTTCCGATTGGGAAGTGAAGAAGATACCAAGGTAACAATTAAGAAAGCTCTTAAATTATACCTACTTAAGAGATTAGATGTACAAAGAAAAGGAGTTAAACCTGTTCAAAATCAGATTAAAAATCTAGTCCTTCTTTTGTTCATTTCTTTTGCTTTATTAATTGCCAAAACATTATTCAAAAAAGCAGAACTAGCAATGCAAAACAAGCCAGTATTAGGGACACAGTGTTTTTATTCATGGTGATATCCAAGTGGATATTTAAAGACAAAGTCAGACTCCAAATCTCAAAGAATTAAAAGTGACACAATAAAGCTAATAAGGCAACTGAAATAGTAACAAACATGAGCACCAAACCTTACTTCAGCCACTGATAGCATTACATAGCATTAAAAATAATTCATTTAATGCGACACTTACATTTTTTTAGTTACCAAAATATTGTCTTGTTTAATACAGAAAACTTAGAAAACAGAAAAGCAAAAGGGAGGAAGGTACCTCAATGACTATCACTAATCAGTTATTTCTAATTCAAGTATTTGCTATCATATATACACTAGTAAAGAATATTTATGTACTTTTTATTCAAGACGTGCACTTTAATTACAAAAGACTGTAGTCATTACAGGCTTCTTTTATAACTGGAAAATATTTTAGAAATACTTTCCAATATAAATACATAGGTCCACAGACTATGTTTCCTCTTGCCCTCAGACCACTAACACATTTCTTTCCTAACATCCATCTCTTGGTTTACAGGCTGCTTATGACTTTTTGATATCATGAACTTTTCATTTGCAGTACATGTTACCAGGCCAATACTTGTAGCAAAGATATATCCATAGAGTTCAAGCTTTATTAGTAAATATCATGATTCTGACAGAATCAATAAGTCAACTCATAGGAACCAAAAGATGCCATTCTGGATAAAGAACAAAATGAATCCAATCCATGTTCTATGGAATTTTTCATGAGAATCACTAAAAGTAAGTGTTCAGACATCCAAAGATAAAGATAAGATGTTAGTCCACTTTAACAACATTGAATAGACCTTGTTTGTCCATATTCATAAAGTATTCCAGTTACTATCTGTTCCATAGTAATCACACTGAAGGCTTCTTGCTTGAAGCTGGGAACAACAGAAGCATGTCTCCTCTTACCATTCACTACTACTCATCATGGCAACAGAGGCTCTAGCTAATTAATTGAGCAGGAATAATAATTCATACACAGATGGAAAAGAAGTAAAATCCTATTCAAATCACCTACATGAATTTAGCAGCATCATAATCAAAGCTCAACACATTAAAATGAGTATTTCTAAACGCTGCAAAAACATTGAAAGAGGACATCTTAAAATAATTTTGCAACATTATAAAGGCATCAAAAGGCAAAGTAACAAGAAAAAATAACAAATAAAAGAAAAGATCTAAAACATACAAAACAGTGGCGAGAAATTGAGGGCAACCTAAATATAGATGTAACAGTATATTCCTAGATGTCACATATAAGCAAGGGCACAGTGAAACCACTGAACTAGACTACTCCATGGACAGAAAGAAAGGTTCATTGGGGTTCAAACTGCCAAGGCTATCTGGGAAGGGGGATGCAAAGAGAGGAGCAAAATGGCAGACAAGCAAGCACATTTCATATGACAGTAGGGTGCATTCTTTGAACTGCTAAAGGCTGTTCAAATTGACCAGAAACTGGACGCCAATGCCCAAAGTACTCAGCCCTTGGAGCAGATCAAGGGAAGCTCCCGGGTAACAGAAACCCACTTTCTGTTTTCCCAATAATAATCTCTCTTCTTACCAGGCCAAAGTCCTTCTGTTGAGACATTTAGGACATACATTACAACCAGCACTGCCATTTGGGAATGGGGGGTAAGTGGTACTTTGGATGTCACATAGATTCAGTTTCCTTAAGAAATCCACTGAACAGCACATCCACCCCACACTATGCAGCTCGAACGGGCTACACAGAGAAAACCCTGGCCCACACCTCGCCTTGCAGTGCCAGGCAGGCACAACTATGGAGAGCAAATGTATGGTGTGGTACTGGAGAGAGAGACAGAATGGTTCATGTCCTATGGACAGAGGCATATCTGAAGAGGTGAAAGAGATGAGGATCGGGCTGAGGCAAGTGGCTTGATTGCCACCCAGGGCATGATCATGCCTAAGCCTGAGCTACTACTGGGGCCCATGTCTGAGTTCATGGTTCTGATGCAGCCGTGGTCTCTGGAGATGTCCCTGGCTCCTGATATCACCAAAGGCTGAGAGGATAGGGCTATACAGAATTGGCCCCATCCCTCACTGGCTGCAACACTAGAGAGAACTAGTCCTGCCTCTCACCAGCTGAAGCACTTAGGAGAGAGGGTCCTTCACCTCATCTGGGCAACACAATAGAGCTGGCCCTGATGGTCCAGGTAGGGGAGTGCCAACCCTGAGGGCTTGAAAACAGGAGAACTGGCCCCGCCCCTTTCTCATTGCTGCTAGGTGTGAACTAGCCAGGACAATACTGGAGAACTCACCCTGGTGATGAGGACAGGGGAGAGCTGGTGGGCAGGCCCAGAACCAGGTTTAGGAGTTGGCCCACCCCAACATCCACCCCACCTATTATCTGTGGGAGCACATAAAGGGGCTGGTCCTGCAGACCCAAAGCTACACAATCTCCATGACACAGGGCAACAACAGGACACCCAAGAAGAGTCTCAGTGAGGGCCCAGTATCAATGTGTAGCAAAAAACAGAAACCTGGAACCAGACCAATGACTTT